AACTTCAGGTTTTGTTTTCTTATTCATGGATCTTAGAGATAAAGGCAATCATCAGCCTGATAGCTCATCCTTGTGACTGCTTTCTAAAGTTTCTCCCAGTTTTACCATAAATGTGGAAGACAGTGCTACTTCCCTGTATCCTTTGGGATACTAATTCATAAACTAATAATTGTTTTATAAATCCGTGATGCAAAGGGCTTTTACCTTTCTCGCTGTGGGAAGCCACATCCCCTCTTGCAGCATTCCCTTTCCTTTTGTCACCATATGCTCTTTCCAATCAGTTTCTTATGTCTTCCATCTATTTTCAAATTAAGGATTTCGTGGTGGGGGGCAGGGGTTTGCTTTTCCCACTCCCTGCCTATGAAATACGAGGCTCTCCCACTTCATTACAGAAAGACTGGATTTCTTTGATGAGCTCAGACAAGATGTAATTTAGACTAATCTATCAAATTGATAGAAATGCAAACAGATATAATACTGTGAACTTATTTTATTTCTAATTATGCAAATAATTATGTAAAATAGGCAAATGTATAATTTTCCCCCAGGCTCCAGGCATTTCTCCACTAAGCTTTGGGGAGTGCAAATTTTGATGTTCTTAGCTCAATAGCCTGTCTGATCATGTAAGGCTGTATGTAAGCATGCTTCAGAATGTCGAGGTTAAAAGTGTCATAAAAGTTATTTACTAAAAGTAACTGGGAAAATCTCAGAGCTCAGGCGGTGGCACGGGGACTTTGGCAGTGCTGGTTAGCAGGACGGCAAGTGGGGTGCGGTCCAGCAAGTTTCTGTGGGTGGGAAGGACAAGGGGAAGCAATGGCCTTTGTTCTTCTGAGGGCAAAGAGGACTGAAAGCTTTGCAACAGGTAATCTGAAAATGTTCTCCCTCAGGCACTCAAAATAAGTGGTGGGGCAGGGAGGGGGTGTTTTGTTTTGATTTCCCTCCCCAGATGGGAAGAGTTTTCTATCAGATGGGATAGGAAACAAGGAAAATTATATTGGCACCACCTAAGGAGGCTTTAAAACAGCAGGAAAAGACATCATGTAGGGATGCCACTCCTCACTTTGACTTAGTTTGGAAGCTGAACTGGATTTATTTTTAAATTAGTAAAAAGACAGATAATTGTTTGCTCCTAACAATTCCTCCCTATGCCAGTAGTCTAGTCAGATAGCTCCAGAGCTGGTATCAACACCGGAGACTGTAAATTTATTCTGGAATCTAGGACTTGCCAGGACTTTGCTTGTGAAGGTTTACTGCTGGTAACAGTACTTAGAACATTAGCAGTTAGGAGATTTTTAGAGAAAACCTTTTGAACTGCTCTGTGGTTGCAATAGACAACTTGTTAGATGCTGTAAAGTCTTGTGCAGCATGTTTGTTCTGGGTGACTGATAACCTGGCTGCTGTGCTTACCGTGCTGATGAGGATCCCTCCTGTTGTGAGGAAATTTAAGTCATTTTGCAGACTGCTGTTTGAACTGTAGCTGATGGTACTTACAGAAGTTCTGGATTCTTTGGACTAACCTTTGTTCCAGAATAATTAATTTTGCTGCTGCTTTTTTTCCCCCTTTTTCTTTTCTTTTCCTTCTTTTCCTTCTCTTCATTGTCCCCTTAAAGCTGTCAGGATGCCTTAGACTGACTTAGGAGTCTGGGGTTTTCTTACACTACAGTGTGCCATTTTGAGGCAACTGCCATTGCCTCTCTCAGTGATTGTTTCCCATCTCCCCATGGGTCTAAATAGAAAAAAGATCTTGGAATTTGGTAACATATCCAAGAGACTTTCTTCATTCATCTTAGTAAATCCTGTTGCACATTCCTGCCATCTGGGATGACCTAGCAGCACCATTCCATGTGATAAATTTACTCTCTTCTCTCCCTAAGAAATAATCTAGGACATAATTCTTCTTTCTTTCTGCCTACATTTTCACTTCCCCCTCCCCTTTTTTCTTCACTTTGATTCTACATTATATTCATAAAGTGTAAAGGATGCTTTTCCATGTATCAGAGAGCTCAGTTATCTTTTTGTTCATTCCACGGTTTGGATGAATGACTCTAACAAATAGGACCAGTAGAAAACTGGGAGAGCCACTGATGCCATTTGCCCTGTCTTGTAAATGACAAGTTATGTCAATGACATAACATAACATACATAACAATGTTATGTAAATGACAAGTCTTGTAAATTTCCAGTTAAAGCCTTGCCACTTGATTTGATCAACCTTACTCCTTATAGTTCTGTAACTGTCTCCCCATTGCTGAGCGGGAGTTTCTTGCAATACAATTTTACTAGCTCTGAACTTGTTTCTTTACATCCAGAAATCAGAATGAGCAATCCATGGGACAGAAAGTTTGAGGTTGCTTTACTTTCTCTGCACTGTCATTGCCTGCCAGTGAAACATCTCATATCATCCAATGTTTTTCACAATGAATCACAAAGTGTTTTGCAGATGAAGACAGTCATATAAGCCAAAGCAAAAAAGGGAGGCTTTAAGGTGATTATTACAGACTTGGGGGGGGGAGGTGGGGGGGTAGAAGGGGGAAGGAGGAAACCACCCCCCTCCCCAAAAACAAACCAAATCAAACCAAACAAAAAATTCCAAACAAACACACAAAACCAACCAAACAAAAAAAAAAAACCCAAAAAACAAAACAAAACCCAACAACAACCCAAAACAAACCCCCCAAAAATCCCCAAACAAAACTGTGGAAAGAATAATTTTATTAAAAACTACTAGTGGCCAAAACCCGAACAACAGAGTAGGCAAATTAATATAAATTTGTCCCATGGGTGGTTATTTAGGTGAAGAGTATCAAAAGACTTCTTAGTCACTAGGCATAGAAAAGCAAGGAATTTAGGTAAAAGGCCTTAAAAATTGAAAAAGTGAAGTTACTCTAAGGCACTCTCAAGCAGCTCTAACTGAGAAAGTAGAAAAGACATTTCTTTTCCAGAAGGAACTGTTGCAGCCATGACTAGCTAGTCCTTCCCGTACGTATTTTTTATATACACAGTATTATTTTTAAAAACATCTCCATTAAGAGGAGTAAATTTATTTTAGCAAGCCTGTTTATAACTGTCAACTCCTCTTAAGAAATGTAACAAAAGCTGCAGCACCGTGGTCTTGTTGGCATGAGGACACATTGTTCATGAGCAGTAGAGGATATGGAAAACATTTGTCCAACAATTGCTGTTGGAGCTCCCTGAGCCAAACTCTGCTCTCTTTAGCTGCCCTGGAGGATGGTACCATTGGTGTCTTTGCTTGGCTGTTAACAGAAGCACAATCCCGAGCAAAGGAGTAAAAGTAAGAATTTGAGTACAGCAATTCAAGGGGACCTCTGCCCTCAAAGGGAAGGATGGGGTAAGTTGAATAATACTTGGCTCAAGCCTGTCTGCGAGCACAAACTCTCATGGGCCAGTGAAGCAGAAGCAGGCCTTGTTGCAGAGCTTTTGTCAAGCACACTCCTTCTGTGCTGCCGAAGACATGCTCTGCCTGCACAGTGGCTGGATGGTCCCAGCTTCCTGTGCTTTGGCAGTGCACCTCAAAACACAGCTATGCTGCAAACCCCACATTCCTGTCCTTAGCAAATGTATGCTGGTATCTAGTTCTAGATCTAGTTGGCCTAGCACGCCAGTAGCAGGGCTCTCTCAGTTTCTCTCCGGCAGGCAGGGTGCTTTCACAGAGGAACTCACGGTTTTTCACTGTTTAATTGAGTCTCCTAAGGAATCGCAGCAGTGCAAATAGGGATTTAAAATTGCTCCTCTTTGCTTAGGTAACACTGGAAGTTTCAAAAAAAGCTGCCTTCCTCCAGCTAGGGCTTAGATCTGCATGAATAAAGCGTTTATTCTGCCAGCAAAAAGCAACGGTCATGCTGCGATAACAAATCAAACCCCCCACGCTGGGGAGGTGATGGCGCACAGACACGAACATCCCAACTACGCAATAGGATCATTCTGCAAATGTACCCGGGCGTTTGGTTTGGGGTTTTTTTTCCTTACTCTCTTTTTTTTTCTTCCTTTTTAATAACTCCGGGCACAGGCAGCTGTTCGCATTTTCAAAGCCTGCTCAGAAAGCAGCCAGTTAATTTTAGTTTGCTCGGGCCACCCTGAGCGAGCTGCCTGCCCCCCCCCGCCGCCTTCCCGGCTGTGCCGGGCAGCGCGGGGGGTGGGGGCCGCGGGCGGCTCCTCCCGGCCCGGCGGGGATGGGAAAAGTTGTTCCCAACTTTTTTTCCCCCCGGCGCGAGCTCCTCCCCCTCCCCTCCCCCAGCACGGCCCCGCCCCCCGCGCGCGGATTGGCGGGCGGGTGCGGCGAGGCCCCGCCCCCGGCGCGGTTTGTGAATGGGGCCGGCGGCGGGGGCGGGGCCCGCGCGGAGCTGCGCCTTTTTTGTGTGCCGGGGCGGCCGCGGGCCGGGAGCCGCGGAGCGGGCGGCGTCGGCGGAGCCGCGGGCGGAGCGCAACGAAACGAACCGAGAGACGCGCGGCTACCCCGGACGCACAGCCCGCAGCGGCGTCCGTCGGGAGCGGAGCCCAGCCAAGCCGCGGGGAGGATCGCGCAGTAATTGGATTTTGAAAGTTATTTAAGCCCCGAAGTAAAATACACGGCTCAGCCGGGCGCGGTAATAATCCATTTAGCCGTAACCCAAATCCCCGGGGCCGTGCAGTCGTGCAGGGAGCAGCGCCTCCGCCTCGCCGCCGCCGCGGGACCCTGCGCGGAGCTGGCCAGAGCCGTCGCCGGGCTACGCGCGCGTCTCCTGTTTCGCCGCCGTTGCCTTCTCCGGGGAGAGCAGCTCCGGAAACTTTCGCCGAGCGAAGCGCCGCCACAGCTCTGCGAGCGCCGCCGCGTCGGAGCCGAGGAAGAAAGTCGTGGAGGTCCGCGCGGAGCCGCGTTCCTCCCGTCGCCGCGCTCCTGCCCCAACGAAGGGGCCCCGCCGCTGCCTTCTGGTCGCTGATGCCCCTGGGGCGTCGCGCCGGCCGGCTCTGAAAGACTCCCCGAGGCTCCCCGGGCCCCCGGCCGCCCCGGCGATGCGGGCTGGAGGAGAATGTGGCGGAGCGGCCGCCGCCGGCTGCCCCTTGCTGGGGCTGGCCGCGCTGTTGGCCGCCCTGCTGGGGACCCCCGCGGGTGCCACGGCACAGCAGTACCACGGCGAGAAGGGCATCTCCGTGCCGGACCACGGTTTCTGCCAGCCCATCTCCATCCCGCTCTGCACGGATATCGCCTACAACCAGACCATCCTGCCCAACCTGCTGGGCCACACCAACCAGGAGGACGCAGGGCTGGAGGTGCACCAGTTCTACCCGCTGGTCAAGGTGCAGTGCTCGCCCGAGCTGAAGTTCTTCCTCTGCTCCATGTACGCGCCGGTGTGCACCGTGCTGGAGCAGGCCATCCCACCCTGCCGTTCACTCTGCGAACGCGCCCGTCAGGGATGCGAGGCCCTCATGAACAAGTTCGGCTTCCAGTGGCCAGAGAGGCTCCGCTGCGAGAACTTCCCTGTTCACGGTGCGGGTGAGATCTGCGTGGGGCAGAACACGTCGGATGCCCCACCAGGACCTGGTGGTGCGGCGGGTCGGGGGGTCACTGCCCACCCCACAGCTGGCTACCTCCCTGACTTTCTTACCCCACCACAGCCACCCTCCGGCTTCTCCTTCTCTTGCCCCCGGCAGCTCAAAGTGCCCTCTTACTTGGGCTACCGGTTCTTGGGGGAGCGGGACTGTGGAGCCCCCTGTGAGCCAACCCGGCCCAATGGGCTCATGTACTTCAAAGAGGCAGAGGTGCGATTTGCCCGGCTGTGGGTGGGTGTGTGGTCCGTGCTTTGCTGTGCCTCCACCCTCTTCACCGTGCTCACCTATCTGGTAGATATGCGTCGTTTCAGCTACCCGGAGAGGCCCATCATCTTCCTCTCAGGCTGCTACTTCATGGTGGCAGTGGCCTATGCAGCAGGCTTCTTGCTGGAGGAGCGGGTGGTGTGTCTGGAGCGCTTCTCTGAGGATGGTTACCGCACAGTAGCCCAAGGCACCAAGAAGGAAGGCTGCACGATCCTCTTTATGATCCTTTACTTCTTTGGCATGGCCAGCTCCATCTGGTGGGTCATCCTGTCCCTCACCTGGTTCCTGGCTGCTGGCATGAAGTGGGGCCATGAGGCCATTGAGGCCAACTCTCAGTATTTTCATCTGGCTGCCTGGGCTGTGCCTGCTGTCAAAACCATCACCATCTTGGCCATGGGACAGGTGGATGGGGATGTACTCAGTGGGGTGTGTTATGTAGGCATCTACAGCGTGGACTCGCTGAGGGGCTTTGTGCTGGCACCCCTATTTGTGTATCTCTTCATTGGCACTTCCTTCTTGCTAGCTGGCTTCGTGTCCTTGTTTCGCATCCGTACCATCATGAAGCACGATGGCACAAAGACAGAGAAACTGGAGAAGCTGATGGTGCGCATCGGTGTCTTCAGTGTCCTCTACACGGTGCCTGCTACCATTGTCCTGGCATGTTACTTCTACGAGCAGGCCTTCCGTGGCACCTGGGAGAAGACGTGGCTCCTCCAGACCTGCAAAACGTATGCTGTGCCCTGTCCCAGCCACTTTGCCCCTATGAGCCCAGACTTCACTGTCTTCATGATCAAGTACCTCATGACCATGATTGTTGGGATCACGACTGGCTTCTGGATTTGGTCTGGCAAAACCCTTCAGTCCTGGCGACGCTTCTACCACAGACTCAGTACCGGCAGCAAAGGCGAGACAGCCGTATGAGACCCTCGTCCCCTCTGGCACACACACACACATGCATACACGCAGAGGAGGCAGAGGAGACGGATACTCAGCACAGGAGTAGGGCAGTGGTTCCCTGAAGAGGGAGGAAGGGAGGCTTTTCCAAACTTTTTCTTCCTCACAGAAGGTTTGGAAAAAAAAAAAATCAAAATCATTGCATAAAGGATCAGTCAAATTATGTCCAGTGGTGCTTATGACCAGCTAAGTGGGAGAGGACTGAAAATGAGGCCGCTGCTGGGACAGGAGAGTCTTTCACTCAGAAGTCTCCTTACTTCTCTCCTGCTACTCCTGTTGAGGAACAGAAACTCCAACCCAACTAAGATCATCTTGCCTTGCTTTGGACAAGAGGGAGGGGAAGCCAGATGTGCTGAGCCACCCCTGCCGTGAAGTAGCCAAATGCTCTCTGAACTGCCGGGGCCAAACTGCAGCGTGGGCAGGGTAATCCCGAGCCTGAGCTCGCTGCCTGCTCCTTCCAGCTCGGCGGAGCCATCACGTGAGTACTGCACAGCCGGCTACAGCCCGATCGTGTGCTGGGGAGATGCTTCTGTTCTGTCAGCTCACAAGTTCCTTTTTACCTCAGTGATACCTGTTGTAATGTTCTAAAGTAAAAATTTGGCCCTCAATCTGTTATTCTTGCTGCTGTGGGGAAGGAGGGGTTGCTGTTCCACACCCTGAAAAGAAATGACTTGTTGCTTTTGAGCAGAAGGCTTTTCCCCCTTGCCTTTGTTCTAGGAGACAAAGGGGGAAACAAAAGTGTTTTCTATGTAGAAAGGCATAAGCATGGGATTGGTTTTTATGGGCAAACTAACAAAAAGAAGTCGTTGAGGTTCACCCTTGGATGTGAGGAGCTCGCAGAAATAAACATTCCTTTTATGAAAAAAGGAGGCAGGATGTTTTCCTACCGTTCAATATGGGTCACTTTTCTAAGCTGAAGGAAATGCAAGATTTAGAGGGCAAGAAGAGCTTACCGAGAGCACCTGCCAAAACAAGAGCCATTAAAATATGTAATGTAAAGATAGGATTTTTTTCTTTCCTTTCCATCAACCTGTTTTCTCTCCTGCTTTGCAGTGAGCTCGCTGCAGAAAAAGTCAATACACAGCCGGTTTCTGGGGACAGAGCCATCGTTTTGGCTCACGATGGACTCTTTGCCTGCTCCTCAGGTTCCCTGAGCTGCATGGCAATGATTTTTGGTGCAGGTGGGGGAGCTGGGGTTGGGGTTTAAAATCAAGCAGTTACTGCAAGTGAGGAGCCTTCTCATTTCAGCTAAAATACAGCTGGTTAAGTTTCCAGTGATAATGTCTTGGAAGGAAAAGCATTCAAAAATTTATCATCAAATGCATCGTTTTCTTTTTGAAATGTGACATTTTTCTATTCTGAAAATTTTTATGTTGACTTGTTCCTATTTTATTTTTTGCATACTACTTTACCTTTATATTCACTGAAGGGTTGTTTTTATAAGTATATGTGTGTGTGTGTATTCTTGCCTAAGGACAAAATAGGACATTCTGGATTTTTAGCAAGTCTCCACCCTATAGCTGCTCTTCGTGTTTTTGGGGGGAAAATGTCTAGAATGAAAGTTTAAAAAGAAAAAGCCTGTTCAGGGTGAGGGGGCAGACTGCTGCTGTCTGAGGGCGTACCAGTAGTCTGAGCATGAGGAATGGGCCCATCAACCAAATCCTTCAGTAGATCTGATGTCAGACTTGCAGGGCTTGGTTTGTCTTTTATAATGTGCACATGGAAGAAAAAAAACAAGCGTGTCAGACAAGTGCAGTATGTATATTTTGTAAATCTCATTTTTGTAAGAAAATATGTATTTATGTTTTTACTTGATTTTTTTTTTTAAGGTCTGTATGAGGCCCTGCTTCACCCCATGTACAGATCACTAAATAAATAATTTTTAATACAAGGGCTCTAATGACATTCTTTCCATCTTTGAATACTTGGCAGGTTTTAGAATGGGGAGAAGCTCTGAAAAGTGGTGTCTTCTCCCCCACCACTTTGTTATGGATAATACAAGAGACTTTTTGGTGAATGCAGACTGGAAACTCAGCTGTGGCTTGAAACTGTTCGTTCTGATTGCCAGCCCCTCACAACAGGAGAGCACATTTTGAGACAGCCGGTTTCAAATGTCTGCCCTCACTTGAGGTACTTGCATGCTAGCCAAGTTTTCTTCCAGTCTCTGCTTCTCTCTGAGGGCAAGCTGATAAACCAGTTCCCTTATCTAGAAAATAAGGATAATGCTCTCTTCCCATTCCAAAGAGACTTTAGGACTGAGAACTGGAGGTTGCTACGAGTGCAGTAAATTTAGTCCTCACTTTGATGGGTGGAGTGTAATAGGGAAACAGTAAGGACTGGATCCTTTTTAATGTCTTTCAACGGGCAGTATCATGAACTGGTGCTTTTTTTTTCCCATAGCACCTTTGCTCTCTGCAGCTTTGTTCAAGTGAATTATACTTTAATTTTAATAGCTAGCCTGAAGCCTACATTGTTTCTTACCACAGTCATCTGAAATCTTCAATGGAATGGTCTATTTTATTTAATTTTTAAAATTGAAATTAATGTTTAGATTGCAAACTGTGTTGTTACAGTCATGGAAAGTGCCCCAACAGAGTTGTACACCTGTGAAATGATGATACTTTACAGCATTTATTTCACAAGGATTTCAGCCTACTGTCTGCATTCATCACACTTCCCGTACCTTCAATTATGCCAATACTAAAATTTAAGTACAGAACAGAGATAGATCTAAGGTGCCTTAGCTAGACGCCATCAGAGTAGCTGCGGTTGCACCGCAACATTGTTTCATTTACTAAGCATAGTTACACTTTGAGGGCGCAATTTATTTGGACACTGTACTCTCAAACTTAACCTTTTACTTTTACAGTGTATGAACTACTGATTTAAAAGTTATTTTAAGAGCTTTCCCCATTCATGCTGCCTCTCTGGAAAAGCCACATCTTTTATTTGAAAACACCTCTTGCTGCTCCTCAGAATTGCCCACTTGTCAAGTTTCCTTTTTGAAAAGACCTTTGCATTGCTGCCAGTCAAGCTGCTCCGAACTGCTCCATGACATGAGCTCGCTGATCATTGCTGAGGGGGTTTTCATTCCACTCGCTCAGGAAACCTGAACCTTTCTATAAACATTTCCTCCCATTAATCCATCAGTGCCGGCCAGAGCGCTGGAACAGCTTGCGCTGTGAAGGACTGGCAGCCGCCGGGAGCAGTGCTGTGACTGACAGCGCTGTGCTGTGCAGCCACAGCTGCGCCGCTAAACATGCAATAATGCTCGCTGCATCCCGGGCAGCTACGCCTGCCATCCATGCAGGGGCTGTCCCACGGCTCTGCGCTCGCCGCCCATCCCCGCTCGCTGCATGGGAAACCATGCACATGCCATCGCTATTCTTTTCTCCAGACGTGGAAAAACTCTCTATATAGACTTTTTTTTTTAGTTTATGAGATATTTATCTCTGGGGGGGGGGGAAGAAAGTCTCTCTATTTCCACCAGAAACCACTAGAGCTGAATGCTTTTATTTCAGTATTTTCTATTAGGTACTTACGGATTTAAAGCCACTGATGAAAAACCATCCAAATCCTGGGATTTAAAATAATTTTTAAAATTTGAAATTGTAGGGTTTTTGAAATTTGATGCTGATGTAAAGTAGAAGCAACGAGTATTCACTTTTAAGCAGATGTGACTCACATCAAGACTGAATTTGCTCACAGTGGAAACAATTTGGAGAATTTCAAGTAGTGATAGTGTTTGGCCTTCTGGAATAAAAATGTCTATCACCATTTTAATAACAAAGTAGCAGTTACTTTCATAATGGAATACAATTCAAAAAATCTCTTTGTGAAGCTCTCTGGAAAAAAAGGAGGAAAAATAAGCCTTTACTAACCTTTGATAAGTACTGCAAAACATTTTTCTCTGACTAATGTCTAAGCTCACTTTAATTTTCTTCAGTGTAAGAAAGGTTGCCTCACCTTTACCTTTGGCTCTTGTCTATGCAGCAGTTTTTGGTTCACAAGAACTTAGCAAGTAATAGTTATCATTGATCCACATCCCTGTAAGTTTACACCATATACTCTATTTTCATGAAAACAATGGAAATACTGGTTCTTCAGTTTCAAAGACATTTGTGCAACTTTCTAAAATGAAGGATTATTGTTTCAGGCAAGTTAAAGAGGAGCCTTCAACAGTTCTAGAGTTCATGAATAGCAGCAGCAACTGAATGTTTGTCTCCACAGAAAAAAGTGCTTTTATAATACGTCAGTGTTTGTTTGGGTTTATTTTTGGTGGAATACCCACACTGAGGATTGAATGTTTTTGTCTAAGTACTTCACCCGCAACCAATAGCTTTGCATGCAAGTAAAAACCACACATCTCTGTATTCACCAACTGGCAACAGTAAACATTACTTATAATTTCACATGGCTTTAGAAGCCAAATTACTAGCTTGCATTTCAAATAGCCTCTTTTTTTCTTCATCTCACTCTCATTTCCTTCCAGACTTTACAGGTACTTCATATTCACCCTGCACTTCATACATGCCTTCTACTCCTCTTAATTTTAAAACTATGAATCCAGTTGAAAGAAATTTAGCCTCTTGCTTGAAGAGAAAAACATGACACTGAATCTTCAGCACTCTAACTGTTCATTGAGGAAGACTATTGCCAAGTCTGCCCTATATAAACCAGGATAATTGTTTCATGCCAACATGTGTGTGGTTTTGGCAGATACAACACTGCATAAATAATATAGTATTGGGGGAATAAATACAATCATGGAAAATTCCCAAATGCCCCACTTAGAATCAACACATTTTGACTAAAATGATGCTCAAACTGTAAAACTAAAATATGTACATCAGAGTTTAACACTGCTCAGACAACCAGTTTGTGCTGCAATCAGAGGAGGAAGGTACCATGGAGGGTTTTGATGCTGTTTAAAGCCAAGGTCCAAGGTTGCCTGGTTCAGGTGGCTGGGCACTGCTTGTCTCAAAACTAGATGAGTGGAAGTAAGGCACAGACAGCACTGCAGATAAACACCAGGTTCAAGCACAGAGTTACTACAGCTGCAGCCAGATGGGATTTGACTGAATGATGCCAGGACAGCCCTAAACAGGGTCACAAGCACATACTCCTCAGCATCACCTACTCCTCTCTGTACAGTCAGCCTACCCACACCAGGAAATTATGAGACTGGGATAAATGAGAATATGGATAAAAAGCAGGAATAAGCAGGCCTAGAGCACATTTTTAAATAACAACTGTAAGCTGGAGGTGATCATTAATCCATATTAGTCAAGAAATCCTGATTGCAACAACTTGTTAATTTTGGCTGCCCCAGCTGTACCACAACTGAACTTGGTAATAGGAAACCCTTCACTTCAGCATGTTACCCTTACAAATACACATAGAAAATCTGAGTGCTGCTTAGAGGAGTAGCCTATGTGGGCAAACTTGGGCTGCACAGATCTTGGAAATTAGTCTCGTGTGGCCACCAGGGTAGCCGTAACCTTACCATTAACACTTCAAAATCCCAAGGGCCAGGGTGACATCTAGAAAGAAGAAAAAAAAAGAGGCCCAGTTCTCCTCTACTTTGAGCTTTACTGAAGGTACTGCAATTCTAGCATTGTTCTCAAACCAATCTACAGGAAGGCAAAGTCATTCTCAGGGAGGGCAAGAAGATAGATTATTTCCCCTGTGCTGTCCTTTTCCTCAGGCTAACATTCTGAGGGACTTGAAAAAGCTTGGGGTGAATAGGGAATTCTGCCAGGAGCTGCAGTAGAAGAAAAACATGTTATCTGGCCCAGATGGACACAGAAAGGTGTTCTAGCAAGTAGGCACTAATCTAAGGTTTGAAAGACAAGTGCTTGATTACCTGCACAATCACAGATGGTGGCCAGATCACATAGGGCCAGTCTTCCAGCAGTATTTGGGCAGCTAAAAATGGAGGCAGGTTACATGGAAAGCACTTTTCATAAACATTTAAATTCCCAGGTGCACATCTAGAAAAATCCTGTCTCTAATTCCTTGTCTAAAAAAAATTGGAGCAGTGGCACTACTGTATATTTAGGGATATTGTGAGAATGAATACTCTCAAAACCAGGAGAAACTGAATACAATTATAATAGAGTTTGTATAAATACCTTAGTCAGGCCTTTGTCCCACAGTCTGATATTTTTCAAGTAGATTCTGTTTTAGAGAATGCCAAATTAAGACCACCAGCTAGAATAAATTTTTTGGTATGTTTTCTAATATCTTATCCAAAACTGGTCAGGCTGAACACCTGCTTTCACAGAAATATCATCTAGCCAGACTCAAATTAAAGTCTGAGAGGGTATGAAGTGGCAAACTAGGTGAATAAAAAATTACACTAAACTGGGCATGCATGTCAAAATGGACTCGTGTTACAGTGGTGCTTCAGCATAGCAGAGATAAGGGCTTGGGCTTGTGCTGGTACTACAGGGTTCTTAACTCTTACAGTAATCCCCAAGCTCTCTTTTGCTATATGTTATAAACACCATTATCATCAACAGGCTCAATGACAACTCTGCTGTTTCTCTTTGAATAAATACTGTTCACTTCAACTTGCTGCAAGTGGAATCTAAATCCTAGCAGTAGGCCTAAAGCAGAGTTGACCAAGGTTTCATCCAAGCCCATGGCAGTGAGAATTCACCTTCCCTGCCATGTTTTCATCTCTTAGTTTTTCAACAATTTCTTTCTGCTACCATGACCTCAAACAACATCTTTCTCATTACTAATTATGGCCAAGGAGAAGGATTAGTTGGATGTTTGGACATTTTCCTGCCTTAACAACAGGGAACAGCATGAGGCTATTACACTTCTTTCACCAATGAAATACAGAATTGTCTAAGCTGACTGGGGTAAATGTTTGTGTCCTGCCTTGATGCCAGCCTTTCCCAGGGCAGACTTCTGTACCCATTCACCTTCATCACACATCAGGTTTTTGTTGCTAAATAAAGTAAACCAACAAATCAAAAAAGGATTCCTAAAAGCACCAAGCATGTGTACCCTCCCCAAGAAACAAAAATGTGACTTACAGAATTTTTTATGGAAGACAGTCAAAGGGAACTAGTTCCAAAAATATTTACCTAAAGCACAAATCACTAGCTTGACATGGCTTCCACAGATTTTCCATGTGGGGTGTGTGCATGTGTGTGCATGCACATCTAGAATAGTGCATGCGAGTGTAACAACTAGAAGTTAACAACTATAGGTAAATCTCTCATCAAAAGCCCAGTGAAGAGAGAAAATCAAAAGGCCCTTGCCCAGTGCAGCTGTCTGCTAATTAAACATCGGTGTTAATTGCAGTAGTGTGGCTGGTCCTCATTCCGTGTGTTTGTTGTGGTGCCTGTGTGAGCTCTGGATTACTCAGAACTTTCACATTCTCTCACAAAATGAAACTGTCTATAAAAGGAATGAAAGGCTGTGATATGTATATATATCTATAGGGCTATTTTTAAAGAGGAAAAAAAGATTTTTTTTCTGCGTGTTAGTTCAAAGCCAGCTTTGATTATTCAAAGCAAGTCAGTCTTTAGAAAGGGTAAAAAACTAAAATGTAAAGCTGGAATCTTTTTTATCTAATCCATGATGAAAAGAGCATTTCTTATTTGTCATGCTCTTGCCTCTCAAATTCTTAATTTTATTTTTTAATTAACGGCAAAATGCAGAAGTCTCATGCAGCATTTCCTGCCCTTACTTTACGAGATGTGCAAAGAAGCATTCCATTAGGGCCAACAGCCAGTAAAAGGGATGTCATTTGACACCCTTCCACAGCTATGCATACCAGGCTGGAACCAAGCGGGATTATGCGAGTGGATAGAAAGCCCTTCTAGAGAGAGGATTTACTCATACTGTTTTTCTTTACACATTCTGCTCTCTGAAGATAATAAATCAGCTATTGGATTTGCAGAAACAACTCTCACGACGGCTAAAGAATTCCGACCCAAAGTAGATGAAGGCAAAGCTCTGGCCTCTCTAAAGCAGCCCAGAGCGAGCCCGGGGAGCAGAGAGCGAAGCGCAGCCGTGTGCGAGGGGCCTGAGCCGTACTGCTCCTCCAGCAGGGGCACGAGGTGGGCTGGCTTTCCAGAGCTCACACCAAACCACGGCAGCTTTCTGCTTTTATGGCAGGCTAAACCTCGGACCTGCATTCGAGTGCTCTAAGATTGAAAAGTCTCTGCTTTACATTTCTTCGAGCCACCAACTATCTTTTCTGGTAAGAAATCCCTGATCTGCAAAGACTAATTAATCTGTGGATGGTTTTGCAGTTATGAAGGCACAGAACTCTGTATCGTTGCTCACAGACAGGGATCTAGTTTTCTGTTTTGAGAATTCTTAAGACTTTTGCCACTTCAACTAATAAAGTCAACATAAA